CCACGTCGGGAGCGCTACATCTTGATTGTGGTGGACGACTACTCTCACTACACCATGGTTTTCCCCTTGCGACGGAAGGCCGACGTGCCTACCGTCCTCAAGCCGTGGCTACTAGCGTGGGGTGGCGCCCAGGGCCTGTGTGGGCTTCGCCTACACTCGGACCATGGTGGCGAGTTTTCGTCCACTCGCCAGGAAACGTTCTGTCAGGGTCGGGAATCATCCAGTCTTACACGCTACCAGCCTCGCCGCAGCAGAACTCAGGCAGTCCGCTTCGCCGCGCACCAGCTCAACCTGTGGCTCAGTGACGCACGGCCACGGGTGATGCCGGTCTCCCTTTGAACAGGTTTTCCGGGCGTAGCAGCTGACTTCCGTGTCTGGGGTTCTCTGGCTCACGTTCGCACCCCTGGCGCGAACAAGTTGTCTTCGCGCACTCGTGCCTGCGTCTTTCTTGGCTTCCCTTTGGACGCCTCCGGCTTGGTGTTCTACGACCCAGTCACCTACCAGTTCTTCGCTTCTCAGGGCGTCATGTTCGACGAGTCTGTTTATTACTACAGGAGTCGCCCCCACCGAGGTACTCAGACCTTTTCCCCTCTGCTGTTCCTCACCCTTGAGCCCCCCCCCCCAGTCACCCCGGTACCCCCCCCCCCCCCCCCTTCGCGTCCTGCCCCGTCAGGTGTGTCGCACGTCACTCCGCAGTCGTCCCCCCCGCAGCGTCCAGTTCTTGTCGTGTCTGGGGGTGCGGGAGGTGCAGTTGCAGAGGGTGAGGGTACTGGGGCTGCATTAGCTGGTGGTGTTGGCTCTGGGGGTGCAGGGGTTGTGGGCGTGGATGTCACTCCTGTGGAGGACACGGCAGCCTCGAGTCGGCGGCCTCGCCCCGCGTCACCCCCTGGCTTCCCGTTCGTCCCGCAGTTTCCTCCTCCTTCTTCTCTGCGGCCGGTTGCCTAGAGCATGGGAGTGTTCCTGCGGGAGGTACTAGAGGCCCCAAGGGTGTCGGTGGTGGAGGTGCTAGTTCTGGGGGTGCTGGAGCTGGAGGCACTGGCACTGTGACGCCTACACCGCGCACTGTACGTTTCCTGACCCGTGAGCAGCGTCTCCTCCGGTTGGAGAGGGAGGAGCGTGAGCGGTTTGAGAGGGAACAGCAGCAGCAGCAGCAGCAGTAGCAGCAGCAGCAGCAGCAGCAGCAGCAGCAGCAGCAGCAGCAGCAGCAGCAGCAGCAGCAGCAGCAGCAAGAGCAGTCTCAGTTGTAGCCGCAAGAGAGCATAGAGGAGGAGTCGCAGTAGTAGCAGGAAAGAGCAGAGGAGTTGTCACGACTGCAGCAGCAGGTGCAGTTGCAGCCGCAGCAGGAGAGAGTAGAGGAGGAGTCACAGCTGCACCAGGAGACGGTAGAGCAGGAGTCCCGTTCGCAGCAGCAGGTGCAGTTGCAGACACAGCAGGAGAGAGTAGAGGAGGAGTCACGGCCGCAGCAGGAGAGGGTCGTGCATGAGTCCCTGTCGCAACAGCGGGTGCAGCTGCAGCCGCAGTAGGAGAGGGTCATGCAGAAGTCCCAGTCGCAGCAGCGAGTGCAGCTGCAGCCGCAGCAGGAGAGGGTCGTGTAGGAGTCCCGGTCGCAATAGAGGGTGCAGCTAAAGCCGCTGCATGAGAGGGAAGGAGAGGAGCCACAGGAGCAGCAGTAGGGATAGGTACTGCCGCAGCAGACGCCAGACGAAGCAGAGCAGCAGCAACTACGACTGCGCGACCTGCCCGACCCAGCACCTGCACGCTTGGTTCGTGGTCCCCTACCGTCCCCTCCTATTCCCTCCGTCTAGTCCCTTTCCTTGTCCCAGTGGACTCGTCGTTCTCCCCTCAGTCGTGCTGTGTCTCCAGAGCCCCGTTGGTCTCGTTACCGTGCAGACCGCCCGTTTCACCTTGTTCTCCGCTCTCGTGTTCCACCTCCTCCAGTCCTTCCACAGCCTCCTGAGTCGTCCCTCACTGTGCTTCACGACCCGTTGTCTGGCTACCTCCGTGCCTCACGTCCTGTCGTGTCCCGTGTTTTGTCCGCGTTGGTTACTCACCCGACTGCACCCTTGTTGTCTGTCTCGGCACTTGTTACCACTGTCGCTGGCTTTGACTCTTCCCACCGCCTTGACTACGCCGCTCACTTGGTGAGTGGCCCTGCTCGTTCTCCGTCCTCTGGGGGTGCTCCTCTCTTTCCCCTAGAGGTCGTAGAGGAGAGGCAGTTTGAGCTTGGTTTCCTTGCGATTGCTGTTCCTCATCTCTGCGCCATGCTGCTTACAGTATCCCTGAGGGGTATCCAGACGCTCTTGACATCCCAATCCCTCGCAATCACGTTGAGGCGGTCTCAAGACCTTTGGGCCTCGTACTGGATAGCAGCTAAGGTGGCCGAGATGGCATCTTATAGGTCCACAGGCACTTACGTCGACGCAGTCCCACCACCTGGGACGAACGTCGTTAGTGGCCGATGGCTCTACAAGGTGAAGCGGCTGCCTGGATCACCACCATTGTTTAAGGCGCGCTACATGGTGAGAGGCTTCAATCAGCGAGAGGGGGTGGACTTCTTCCAAACCTTTGCTCCCACCTTGAAGATGAGTACTCTTCGGGTGTTGCTGCATATTGCAGCCCATCGCGACTACGAGTTGCACTCCTTGGACTTTTCCACCGCGTTCCTTCAGGGGAGCCTGCATGAGAAGATCTGGCTACGTCGCCCACCTGGCTTCATTGGCTCTTTCCCACCTGGGACCGAGTGGCAGCTGCGTCGACCAGTCTACGGCCTGCGTCAGGCTCCACGTGAGTGGCACGACACACTTCGCTCGACCCTTGCAGCTCTTGACTTCTTTTCGTCGTCTGCTGACCCGTCACTGTTCGTTCGCCGTGGCCCAACCCCGTTCTTTTTCCTGGTGTTCGCCACTCCCGACCGGCGCGCGCTGGCCTCCATGAAGGAGGAACTGCAGAGGAGACACACTTGCACTAACCTTAGTGAGCTGCAGCACTACCTTGGCCTGAAGATCACCAGGGACAGGGCAGCTCGCACCATTACGCTGACTTAGTCACATATGGTCGATCAGATCCTCATGGGGTTTCGCTTCCCGTTCTCCAAGGTACAGCTCACCATTCTTGATGTGGATCATGGGCTCACGGCTCCACCTTTGGACGAGTCATTTGAGTCCAGTGGTCCATATCATGAGCTGGTGGGTTGTCTAATGTACCTGATGACCTGAACTCGCCCAGACCTAGCTTACCCTCTTAGCGTCCTTGCGCGCTTTGTTGCGCCTGGGAGACATCGACCGTCCTACTGGTACGCTGCTAAGAGGGTGGCGAAGTATGTGGCGAGTACATCAGGCATGGGACTTGTCCTTGGAGGGAAGCAGCCAATTACCCTCACAGGTTACTTAGACTCGTCGTGGGCCGACGACGCGGAGACACGTCGGTCTACACAGGGGTACTCCTTTTACCTTAGGACAGGTGCTGTTTTGTGGCGGTCGACTCAGGCGTCGTCCGTCGCCGGTTCCAGCTGTGAGGCTGAGGTGTACACTGTGGCCATGGCGGCTCAGGTGCTTCGCTGCCTGTCTTTCCTTCTCACCGACCTTGGTGAGCGGCCTCGCTCTCCCCCAGTCTTGTTCGCCGACAACAGGTCTGCTGTCCTATTTTGTGAGGAGCCTCGATTGGTTGGGAAGGCGAAGCACATCCAGCTTTGTTACTTCCTTCTGCGTGAGTTGCAGCAGCGTGGCCAGGCACCCGTTGAACGTGTTGTCTCTGAGGCCAACACGGCAGATATCTTCACCAAGGCGTTGCCGACTTGTGACCACCAGCGTTTCTGCACCCAGCTTAGCCTTGTGCCTGCCCGTCCACACCTGCTTACATAGAGAAGCCTTGTCCTGCATGTCTTGTACTCTTCCATCTCTTTACATTTGCTGTATGCATGCATGTGGACTGGCCTTGTGGCCCCTTGGTTGCTCTCAGGGTGTGTGGTGACTTTGAGCTCCACCCTGAGATTTGTCTTGTTCTTGTGGACTGGTCTTGTGACCGTTGCTTGCTCTTGTTGTTTCTGCAGGACTACTGTCACCTAGACTATGGGGGTGTGTCAAACTATAATTCTATAGTTTGTGTAGTTCTAGTCTAGGTGTTCTCCCTTGTGTTATTTTGTACTTGCACTAGGGTTAGGTTTTGCATATATCTTGTTTGTACTTTCTATTTTAGTCAATTATTACATTGTGACAGAGCCACGTGCAACGTCTGGCTAGTGTGACAGGGACAGGTGCCGAGAGCAGTGTGATTGTGGTGCGGCCGCAGAAGAAGCACTGAGACGCGCCGGAGTCCAAGGTGAAGGTGAGCAACGCCTCCATAGAAATTACACCTGTGCTAGCAGTTTCACAAGCACCTACACTACCAAATCTAGGCACACAAGAATAATTGTCACCGTCAGCACTCCAACAGCATACATGGCATACGTGCCAGTAAAGATCTGGTATGAATCAAGAGAAAATGCATTTAAACCCTTCTTTAGCAATCCTAACTAGTCAAGAACCCTGGCCTGATCACCAAACTCCGCTCAAATAACGTCCTTGAGGCGGTAGAGGCATCGAGCCTCAGTGTGCCACAGCCTGCCACAGACATCGTCGGTGCGGGGACCTATGTGCCGGATGTACTAGCAGCTATCACCACCCCCAATGGAGCCACGCTGGGCAACCCACTCACAAAGCTACTGCGGCGAGAGAGTCTCCAGCTGACGTGGTTGATGTTGCTGTCCACCCCCAAAAACCATCGCCACCACTAGCTGCACCACCAGAAGCAGCTCTTTGGCTCCACCCCCGTCAGCTCCACCTCATGTATCTCACTCTCTAGACCCCATGAAACTCACCCTTGCCTCTTTTAAGACCCTCTTCTTGAGGCCGAGACCAGTGCGCGCGCTGTAGCTGCCTCTTTAAGGGGTGCTCCCCCTCCCTTCTCACGCCTTCTGTTGCCTCTGCTGGTGTTGTTGACTTCCTGCTGAGGAGGTCGCTGCTATGTCTGCCCCTAGCTGTAGGCGCCGTGACAGGGGTGCGCATACTAGGGGTGGGGACGGTGGGAGTGGTGGAGGTGGTAGTAGTGGTGGCGGTGGCGGGGGTGGCGGAGGTGGCGGTGGCGGGGGTGGGGGAGGTGGCGGTGGCGGTGGAGGTGGTGGGGGTGGTGGAGTTAGTGGGGGTGGCGGGGGTGGTGGAGGGGGCTCGGGTGGCGGTGATTTTGGCTTGAGAGCAGCACGGTAGCACGTGTTGAGGGAACGCAAGTGAGTCATGAAATCAACTACATTGGTGAAGAAACATAGCTCAGGGAAGAGAAACGGCAACGCAAGACGGCCAAGGGTGGCAGAAGAGGGGGGGGAATAACGCTTAACTACAGCGTCATACAGAGCATTGGCCGACTTCACCTAGCGAAAGTGGGGCTATTGGTCGAGCGGGAGTTGAGCATGGACTGCAAGCTGGGAAATAACGTCACGTGCGAGCCACTGTGTGGAGGCAATACGGTCAATCCTAAACTGTTGTCGCAAAGTCTCCGTAGTGGAAGGGTCAGGGACAGACGGCTCAAGTGGGGCAGAAAGGGATGCCGACCTGTGCTCAAAGAGGGAGACGCCGTCCTTGGTGGTACTAAACAGGTACAATTGAAGGTCCTGCAGCCAGGACTCAAACTCGATTGGGCGGCCCTCAGCGTCAAAGGTCAGTATAGTAGCAGGCGCCATGGTAGGCAGCACGGCTCGGCGGCAACGGGCTGGCCAGTGGGTAGTGCACAACGCGGGCAGCGCGTGGGCTGCAGGGGAGCAAGGGCGACAGCTGCGTCGGTGCATCGCACAGGCAGCAGTGGCGCTCGAGTGGCGGCGGCACACGAGCACCAATGGCGGTGCAAGGGAGGTAGCAATAACGATACGGTGCACGAGCGGCAATGGCGGCAGCGACTTACAAGCGGCAGCTGCGCAAGGGCAGCAGCGGCGGTGCAAGGGCAGCAGCTGCGGCGCAAGAATGGCAGCTGCTCAAGGGCAGTAGTAGCAGCAGTGCAGCGCACGGGCGGTAGTGGCACACGAGCAGTAGCGGCGCAAGGGTGACAAAAGAGGTGGTGCAGCGCACGGGCAGCAACGGCAGCAGTTTAGCGCACGGGCGGCAGCAGCGCACGGGCAGCAGTGGCGCACGGGCAGCATACGGGCGGCGGCGCATGGGCAGGCGCAGCGCACAGACAGCAGCGACGCACAGAACGGAGGCGCACGAGGCGGCATGGCACGTGGGGCAGCGGCGCGCAGGGCAACGGGGCGCGCAGGGCAGCAGCTCACGGGGCAATGGCACACGGGGCAGCGGTCCGCGGGGCAGCGGGGAATGCGAGGCATGTCAAGAGTTGAACGAGAATGAGAGAAGATTAAGTAGGGCCTAGGCTTAGTAGCCTAGGCCCAAGTAGGATATCGAGCGGGTTTCTCCTAGGGTGAGTATCGAGTGAGTTGAAGAGAAGTTGGGAGAATGAGGAGCTTCACTATAGTTTTGAAGTACATATAGCAAAGGAAACACATAAGGTGCACCACCAATACAAAGTTTAAATAACTACACTACTGCTAGAACTACATGCAGTTATAATAAATATAATTTTGACAAGGCAGCTGTCGCGCAGGGCAGCGGGGCATGAGAGGCAGCTAGCGCGTAGGGCTGTACAGCGATAGTAGCAGTGACATGCAGTAGGAATGGGCAGTGTCAGAATATATTTGCTGTTTAGCCTGCAGTGGGGTACTCTGTAATGAGTACAACCCAATTTAGGGCAATGTACTTGTATCCCAACTCTTGCTAGTCAAACCCCTTCTCTTCCAATTTCTCGATACTCTCCCCTAGGAGAAACCCACTCGAACTTACCTATCTCCTAGTGTGGGCCTAGGCTACTAAGCCTAGGCCCCACACCTACTATTTTCACATGGTATCAGAGCCCGTTCTACCTTGGCCTGTGGGCCCCTATGCTTCCGCTGCAGTCCTTCTTCCTGCCGCGCGCGGAGCGCGCGGCGAAATTTTTTTTAAGGATTTCAGAGTTTTTCATCCCGCCGTGCGCTCGGGGCGCGCGGCGGTTTTCCCGTCCTTCGAAGCGCCCTCGGGGGGCCTGCGCGCTGCCCTCCCCGCTGCTCGTCGCGACGCCCGTGCGGGACCTGCGCGGCGTCACCCTGCTCGTCGCGACGTCCGTGCGGGACCCGCGGGGCGTCGCCCCTGCTCGTCGCGACGTCCGTGCGGGACCCGCGCGGCGCCGCCCTACTTGTCGCGACGTCCGTGCGGGACCCGCGGGGCGTCGCCCCTGCTCGTCGCGACGCCCCATGCGGGACCCGCGGGGCGCCGTCAGTTCCTGCAGCAGCAGCCGCCGCCGCCCTGCAGCAGCAGCCGCCGCCGGGCCTGCAGCAACACACGCCGCCGCCCTGCAGCAGCAGCCGCCGCCGGGCCTGCAGCAACAGACGCCGCCGCCCTGCAGCAGCAGCCGCCGCCAGGCCTGCAGCAGCAGCCGCCGCCAGAGCCTGCAGCAGCTGCCGCCACCGATCCAACAGCAGCAGCCGCCGCCGCTCTGCCGCAGCAGCCACCGCCACCCAGCAGCAGCAGCCGCCGCCCTGCAGCAGCAGCCGCCGCCAGGCCTGCAGCAGCAGCCGCCGCCAGAGCCTGCAGCAGCAGCCACCGCCAGAGATTGCAGCAGCTGCCGCCCCTGGACCCGGTACGCTCTGTGCTGCCCTGCCTGTGCTGCCCTGTACTGCCCTGCCTGTGCTGCCCTGTACTGCCCTGCCTGTGCTGCCCTGCCTGTGCTGCCCTGTGCTGCCCTGCCTGTGCTGCCCTGTGCTGCCCTGCCTGTTGCTGCCCGTGCTTGTGCTGCCCGTGCCTGTGCTGCCCGTGCCTGTGCTGCTTGTGCCTGTTGCTGCCCGTGCCTGTGCTGCCCGTGCCTGTTGCTGCCCGTGCCTGTTGCTGCCCGTGCCTGTGCTGCCCGTGCCTGTGCTGCCCGTGCCTGTGCTGCCCGTGCTTGTGCTGCCCGTGCCTGTGCTGCCCGTGCCTGTGCTGCTCGTGCCTGTGCTGCCCGTGCCTGTGCTGCCCGTGCCTGTGCTGCCCGTGCCTGTGCTGCCTGTGCCTGTTGCTGCCCGTGCCTGTGCTGCCCGTGCCTGTGCTGCCCGTGCCTGTTGCTGCCCGTGCCTGTGCTGCCCGTGCCTGTGCTGCCCGTGCCTGTGCTGCCCGTGCCTGTGCTGCCCGTGCCTGTTGCTGCCCGTGCCTGTGCTGCCCGTGCCTGTGCTGCCCGTGCCTGTGCTGCCCGTGCCTGTGCTGCCCGTGCTTGTGCTGCCCGTGCCTGTGCTGCCCGTGCCTGTGCTGCCTGTGCTTGTTGCTGCCCGTGCCTGTGCTGCCCGTGCCTGTGCTGCCCGTGCCTGTGCTGCCCGTGCCTGTTGCTGCCCGTGCCTGTGCTGCCCGTGCCTGTGCTGCCCGTGCCTGTGCTGCCCGTGCTTGTGCTGCTCGTGCCTGTGCTGCCCGTGCCTGTGCTGCACGTGCCTGTGCTGCCCGTGCCTGTTGCTGCCCGTGCCTGTGCTGCCCGTGCCTGTGCTGCCCGTGCCTGTGCTGCCCGTGCCTGTTGCTGCCCGTGCCTGTGCTGCCCGTGCCTGTGCTGCCCGTGCCTGTGCTGCCCGTGCCTGTGCTGCCTGTGCCTGTTGCTGCCCGTGCCTGTGCTGCCCGTGCCTGTGCTGCCCGTGCCTGTTGCTGCCCGTGCCTGTGCTGCCCGTGCCTGTTGCTGCCCGTGCCTGTGCTGCCCGTGCCTGTGCTGCCCGTGCCTGTGCTGCCCGTGCCCGTGCTGCCCGTGCCTGTTGCTGCCCGTGCCTGTGCTGCCCGTGCCTGTGCTGCCCGTGCCTGTGCTGCCCGTGCCTGTGCTGCCTGTGCCTGTTGCTGCCCGTGCCTGTGCTGCCCGTGCCTGTGCTGCCCGTGCCTGTGCTGCCCGTGCCTGTTGCTGCCCGTGTCTCGTGCTCGCGCCCCCGTGCGCTCTGCTACTGTCTGCGCCCTCGTGCGCACTGTCCCCCCCCCCCCCCCCCCCCCCCCCCCCCCCCCCGTTTGCGGGTGTGGGGGTGCTCCGTTTGTGTCGCCCCTTCCTTCTCCTCCTCCGTCGTCTCCCACTGCTGCAGCTGTCGCTGAGGGGGGTGGTTGTGTGGGAGACTGGGGTTTAGGGTTTAAGGGGGGTGCGTGGGAGTGGAGCTAGCGGTGTAGCAGCGGGTGTGTGTCAGGGGGGTGGGACTGTTTGGGGAAGCTGCATGGAAGTTGCCGTACTGTAGTCCGCAGCACCTGTAGTCCGGGGCGCTGTCCCGGTAGCCCAGTGAGCTAGACTTCTACGCCAGCCGCCCGTGGGTCCGTTGCCCGTCTGCCGCTACTTGAGCCGCGGGGCCTGTTACTCCTGTAGTCCGGGCGCTGTCCGGTAGCCGCTGTGCCAGTCTGCCTCCTGTTGCCCGTGTGTCTGCAGCTTCAGCCGTCTCCTCCTATCTCCTCTCCCCTCACTCTCTCTCCTCCTCCTCACTTGCCCGTTGTGACTACCACTAGCTTTGCTCATAATTCTTAACTCTAAACTATTGCTTCTTTAACTTGTGCTCAGAATGTGTGGTGACATTGTGATCCACCCTGAACTTGTACTATTTTGCCTGCTCTGCTGATTACACCCCACTTTGGCTATGGGGGTGTGTCAGAATATATTTGCTGTTTAGCCTGCAGTGGGGTACTCTGTAATGAGTACAACCCAATTTAGGGCAATGTACTTGTATCCCAACTCTTGCTAGTCAAACCCCTTCTCTTCCAATTTCTCGATACTCTCCCCTAGGAGAAACCCACTCGAACTTACCTATCTCCTAGTGTGGGCCTAGGCTACTAAGCCTAGGCCCCACACCTACTATTTTCACAGGCAGTAGGCACGGACCTAACCTACTCGATAATACCAGCTTAAAATATGAAACGGCAGAATGAAGATGGATTGCAAGGATATGGGTACAAGTACAAACCTTGAAATGCATGTTGGGCTGAGAAAAACCCTTAGGATCTTTGCAGGACTAAATTCTGAGTAGGACAATGTAATAGCAGAAGCATTTAATGAAGAGTTTGTGAACCACCTTGCGCTGATATGTGAGGGCAAAGTAGATTGATTAAAACAAAGAGATACAAGCTTTTTATAAGAGTACAAGGGAATATAAAGGGTTATAGCTAATAACTGTTTTGCTGTTGCTGTTGCGGTTCGATACAGTGACGACTCGGGCAACTGCTCAATAACGAGTCAGTTGTTTGTCCTTGCTGGCGCGCTGTACTTGTCAGGTCAAAGGTCGCTGACATTTAACTTTCGCGTAACCTCCAGCAGTTGTTCAACCTCCGAGGGTTGACTCGCCAATGCTTCGTTGTATTTTGCTTTGCTTATAACTTAGTGCTTCGACACGACAGAGGCACTTAAGTTACTTGTTTCCAACACTCCCCTTTGCTTCTGGAGTGTCGCTGCTGGTGACGTGGCTCTATCCAGTCAGCAGCATGCAGTACTCAAACTTCTGCTTTCCGAGTTTCTTGGTCAAGTAATCAGCTGCCATCTCGGACGTGGGGCAGTAAGACAGCTCGAGTCTCCCCTTCTCGATCTCATCCTTCATGAAGAAATATCACAGTGTGATGTGCTTTGTCCTGTTTGCGAATCCATTTTTGTTGGCTATGCGAATTGCTGACTGGTTGTCGTAGAACAAGGAGAAGCTGGGTAACTGAGCCAGCTTCGCCTCCTCCAGAAGTTCGCGAAGGTACAATCCTTCCTTGGTGGCTGAGCAGAGTGCGATATATTCTGCTTCAGCTGAACAGAGGGCGATTAACTCCTGCTTGCTTGACTGCCACGAGATGGGTCCGATAGGTTCAAGGCGATAGATGTAGCCAGTGCGCGAGCGTCTGTTGTCGGAGTCGCCAGCGTGATCGGCGTCGACGTAGCCGATTAACTTAGGTGTCGAGGTTCCGTTCTTGTGATAGGTCAGACCAATCTTCGGAGTGCTAACAAGGTAGTGAAGAGCGCGGTCAAGCTCCGCCATATGTTCTGCCTCGGGCCTTTTGAGGTAGGTGGCGAGTTGACTCGCAGAGTACAATAGATCCGGACGGCAGGTGACGGCCGCGAAGAGGAGGCACCCCAGCTTTCTCTGGTAGTCGCGTATACCTGCGGGCTTAAGCAGAGTGGAGCTTTCCTTGTGATTTCCTGCAGTATAGCGGTATGGTGTGGAGATGGTGATTGGGGTGAGTCCGAAGCGTTTGGCAATAGTGTCGGCATATTTCGCGGCGTTGAGATGGATCGCGCCTTCCTCTTCCTGGATGTTAAGGCCAAGGTATTGCGTGACGGTTGATGACACTGTGAGAGTGAGGTCCTGCTGCAGCTCCCCTTTGAACCAAGCAGTGATGCCGTCAGTCGAGCTGATGTAAAGCAGGTCGTCCACCTAGACGATCAATAAGATGTAGTCGTCGCCTTTCGTGAGCCGATACATGCCCTGGTCGTGTGGTAGCTGTCGGAATCCAATGCAGGTGAGTCGAGCGTGTAGCTGCACTGTGGATGCCCGATTGATCCTGGAGAGGGTTACAGGCGCGTTCGCCTGGGGGGTTATGGGCGCACTGACCCGCTACTGAAACAAGCCCTTTTATCCCAATGGTCTAGTGGTTGGGATTCTGACATGGTATCAGAGCGGTCTCGGGTTCGATTCCCGGTGTATGCACATGTAGGCCGTTGCCGTTGTGCTTAGTCCTGGGCCTCCCAGTGTGGGGGGGTGTCAGTAGATCTGCACTGTGGATGCCCGATTGATCCTGGAGAGGGTTACAGGCGCGTTTGTCTGGGGGGTTATGGGCGCACTGGCCCGCTACCGAAACAAGCCCTTTTATCCCAATGGTCTAGTGGTTGGGATTCTGACAGATACTGCTACCACAGTCTTGGAGCCTGTTTGATGCCGTACAGGGACTTCAGTAGCTGACAGACTTGGTTTGGCTCTCCATTGGAGCCGTGTGGAAGTTCGACGAAGATTTCGGCGTCAACATGTGCGTAGAGAAATGCATTGGCGACGTCGATTTGCCGCAGCTTCTTCTTCTTCATGGCGGCGATCGCGAGAAGAATTCGGAGTGAAGTGTGTCGACTGACCGGGGCAAACGTCTCGGTGAAGTCACGTCCGTGCTCTTGGTCAAAACCGCGCACGACCCAGCGCGCTTTAAACTTGTCGATGGTACCGTCCGCCTTTGTCGTCACACGGAAGACCCATTTTCCGGTGAGTATTGTTTTGTTGCGTGCCACGCCGATGGGAACGACTTTCCAGGTGTTCTGTTTTTCCAGTGCTTTCAGCTCCTTGTCCATGGCTTCGCGCCATTTTTCATTATGCTCCCCCCCCAGAGCCTACTGAACTGTGGCAGGCTCCTTAGGAATCTCCGTGCCGTGGACCGCGATGACAAGGCCAAGTATCTGGAGACCACTCTGTGTGTAGCGATGGAGTGTTGTGTCCTTGGGATAAGCTGCTTCGGCCCATGATTCTGGGTCAGGTATGAAGCTGGGCCCTATGCGTTCTGCTTCATTGGTGCTGACTTCTGCAGGTGTAACGTAACCGTTGTCGGCGAAGTGGTAAAATACTTCGGCGTTGGCGCTCTTGCGAGGATTTTTGTCATCCATTGGGACGTCGACGGAGCAGTAAGGGAGAGGTCCGGCTTCCTCCGAGGCTTCATCCACGTTCTGCTCGTCCCAGTCAGCTTTGTTTGCTGCCGAGGCGAAGGCTCGGTCATGACGGAAGCCACCTGTGGGGTCCCGATCTTCTTCCAGGTTGGCAAGGTACGTCGGAAGGGTGAGTCGTTTGTAGAAAATGAAATCACGTGCTGCTACTGTTTCCTTGGAGTGGACGTCGAAAATCTTCCATGCGTTGTAATTTCTTTCGATGCCCAGGTGTAGTCCCCACTGTGCGCGTTGGGAGAATCGGCCGGCTCGTGCAGATGGGGGTCGGTACTGTACCATGCAGCCGAAGACTCTTAACATTTTTGTGCTGCCTTGCTTTCCTGTCCACAGCAGGTGCGGTGATGCGTTGTTCGGGAGCGATGATGACGAAAGCAAGCTGTGCAGCATGACAGCGTGGTCCATTGCTTCGGGCCACTGGTGGTTGGGTAGCTGCATGCCACGTAGCAGTTTGCGCATGGTGTTCTGGAGAGTCCTTTTCATCCTTTCTGCTACGCCTTGCTGCTGGTGAGTGTAGGGAAGGGAAATGAGCCTCTTGATCCCTCTTTCTTCCAAGTACTGCTTGAATCTTTGTAAGGTGTATTCTCCTCCTCCGTCTGACTGGAAGCTTTTCAGCTTCACGCCTGATTCTCGTTCTGCTACTGGGAGCCAAGCCTCGAAACCCATGTCCTTGCTCAGAAGGTTGAGGTGCCAAATGTAATGCGTGGCGGCATCGATGAACGTGATGGTGTAGCTGTATGCTCCTTGTCCAGGTTCGCGGTTGTACAAGATGTCGCTGTGCACTTTCTCGAGTGGTGCGTAAGCTGGTGCGCTGGGGTTGTGGTGAGAAGCGAACGGCCAATGAGGTAAGTCAGCTTCGGGGCAGCTAAAGCACGTTTCGCGAGCTCGTCGAAGTTCGCTTCCGTCGGTTAGGAGCAGTGAGTCTTTGTCGAGCTCTCCTGCTTTGATTGTGTTATTTAACACTGTGTTGCTTGAATGTCCCATTCGTGCGTGCTAGATGTCTTCACCAGCTTGATGTCCGGGTGAGCGACGGTACAAGTCGGAGTTGGAGTAGAAGCTTGCGGTGAAGTTTGCGCTTCGTCGTACTTCTCGTGGTGTTGGGTTCAGTTGCTGCGCAGGAGTTGGTGGAGTGTCGTCATCGATTGGAGCCGGTGCAGTTGAAGGACCCGCGATTGGTGCCAATGCTGTTTCTGTTGCTGCCGATGTTGTCTCTGCTGCTGCCGATGTTGTCTCCGCTGCTGCCGATGTTGTCTCTGCTGCTGCCGATGTTGTCTCTGCTGCTGCCGATTGAATAGTTTCTAATGCTCCTGTTCGTTCTACTTCAGGAATGGTGTGCGAGTACTAGAATCCTTTGGGGCTGAAGTCGGGATCAAGATCCAGTGGGTGCGTCCAAGAGGTGAAGGTGACAATTCCGTCACTGTCGGCAGTGCCTAGATCTGGAACGAAGTCGAGAACAAACACGTTGTTCTTCAGTACGGCTTTGCTGATGTAGAGGCCTCCTCTCCCGTGGTACAGC